TATTGTACTAACGTTAGACGTTGCTCAACAGATTTATACTTCCAAATTGCACGAGCTATAATTGCGAATAAATATTTAATAATCGCGCGCACGTCGCTGCCGGGCTTTTCTCGTAATAACTGCTCTACTCATTTACAATTCCGAAATGTAATCTCACAAAAGAGTAGATACTGTGTGCGAAGCTAACATATATCTTTTGTAACGTGTAGATTGAACCCGATGCTGTAAAATGAAATTTTTGCCCAACCATCATCTTAGAAAATTTTGATTCGCGTTATTATTGTTATATATAATAATAACGCGAATTTTTATGCGTTATTATTGTATATAACAATAATAACGCATTTTATGTAAATCAATTATCTTTACGCGTCACGATCTGTGCGCGGCTAGAATGTACGCTATTTTTCGAAGATGATCGCAATTCGATTACTTGATCGCGCGGCAGTATAGTTATCGCGAAAACAACTTGGTGCACTCGTATGATAAATGCATACTCGTAACGAGTACCTGCTATTTCCATGTGTACGACCGCGTGTCGTAATCATTTCTGCATGACAGTGTGCGTGTGCAACGTGCTATGGCTGGATTCGGGGAGCGCGCTATTAGCGCTATTTGCTTGTTCTATCCTTGTTTTACACCTGATGAGCGATAAAGATAGAATGATGCAATAGCGCTAATAGCGCGCTCCTCGAATGCAGCCTATATTGTGGACCGTAGTCCTTTAGTAGTTCTTATTTCCCGCGTATTGCGACAGATCGGCCTACGCGGTCGGCAAGGCTTTCCGCGTAACGCCGCGGCAAGTCCTTTGATGTCTTCGGATCGCGTGGTATAATCATTATAATATGTAGTTTGATAAGCACACTTGTGTGTGTGGTGTAGTGCCTTGCCGCCAGCTCTACTAACTGCTCGGCTGGAGCAGTTTATGATGCGAGACGTGCAAGTAACACAACCGCGATCAGCTGATTATTTTATGTAGATCGTCCTGCAACTTTAAATGTAATAATAGCTTTTTTCGCGAAGTTGAAGTGTTCTCTTTGGCGAAAATGTCGAGACTCTAAAAATGTGCAAAATTGAATGTTATAAATGATTTAAAAAAAATGTTTCCCGCGCGTAAGTAGATAAAAGAATTTTTTATTTCTCGCTAAGGAAAGATTGGGCTTCATCAGATAATTCGATATATCTTTATACTTATTTTTTTTCTTTATATCTCTCTCTTTGTTTTTAATTTACATTTAGATTTATTTGCGTTTTTGTATGACCATCGTGTTTCACAGTCCGATTTATCTTTGTAATAAACCGTTTTAATTAAGGAAAAACTCGGTACGAAAGAAAATTAATACATCCTTCTTGCCACGGTGGAGCGCGGGTGAAAGTTAAAGATCGGTTCGGTAGAACCTTCCGAGGAGATTAGAATGGAAATGCACTTTCTTGTTGCTGGCAAACACTCACACTTGGGGGGTGGTACACGCGGGTTCGCGGCATCACGGCGGTTGTTTTATTCGCGGGAACCCGGCAACGACCGCGCGGCGCGCGCGAGCGGTGCAACCATGCGATTTTCCGTGTATCGCTCGGCCAGAGCCTAGCCTGCAATTATCGTGTGAACGAGGCCGAGCCTCGCCAATGGCTTTGTTTCGTACTTTAATGGCGACTCTTTCGAGATTCCGCGAAGCGCGCGAGTCATTCGGATCAGCATCGGTCGGGAATCGAGCGACGAAGCTGATTCAATTAAAAAGATATCAAACGATGAGAGAGGAAAAAAAAGAGCTGCGCTATAGCGCTATGTAAGAACGTTGTTTCGTTTTATGTGATGATGTTGTAATCCGTTGTACCGTTAAGCTTTTCGTAAAACGAAGAAACAATTACTGGTGAGAAAGTGGAACGACATTAATATATATTTCGTTTCCTCGAAAGTGCTACGCACTCAGTCTATTTCACGGACTCGTCGTTTACTATAAGACTCGATTCGAGTGCTTCTTGCTGAAACGCTTGGAGTGTCATAAGCGCGGCACTCCTTTAAGTATCGACAATGGATATTGTTGAAAGGAGAACGCGATAGACGCGTTTAATGTGACTTTAGGCGCGTCTAGGCATAAACCAGACATAAATATCGTTGCTTTTATTCGACTTGTGAATTAGCATTTTTCGAAAACAGCTTTTCAACAACAGGATGTCAGAAGACGTCGGACTTCCCGAAACTACGACGTCGACTATCTAAATGCGCTTTTAGCACGATTTCTCCGCGCTTCAATTATACCGGCGTTTATTGCTTCTCGTCACGAGCCATCGCGTCCGATTTTTCTTTTTTGGCCCGTCCGCGCCGCGCGTGCAATTACCGTGCGAACGAGGTCGCGGACTTAGTTGATAGTCTCCGATACCGCATGCATCGACTCTGCCGCGATAACAAGCGCGGATTAGACGCACGGGATGTACTCTTTAATAACTCTTCCGAGATCGCAAATAAGCAATTATTCCGCTATTTACAATTAGACGGAATTGGACTCCAGTCTGGCATTCGAGTCTACCGGTTGGGAAAATCGGTGGAGTCGACCGAATCGGAATCATTCTTTACCTCAGCAAGCTCCCCCCCCCGCGTAATAAACATATTAAAAGTCGTCGCGAAGCTGCGTCTCAGCGTAGTGCTGGTTTCCACAACCCTTGGAACTACGCGCGTTACACGCAAACTTTCGTTCAGGCACGTTCTATAAAAGATACGATCGATGAAATGACGTATACGGTATACCTGCAACAGACCTATAGACGTAAATACCTTATATTGCTGCTTTATCACATTTTTGTCGGTGTCTCAGACTCGGAAATTCTCATATTCTTTCTTTGTTGTATAATGGTATCTTCAGCAGGAGAAAAATATGGGAGAGAGGGGAGAGGGAGGGGGAGAGAAACTTTCAGCGTAAGAAAAATCTTCCATATACATAAAATGATGAAGATCGTTGGTTCAACAACCGGCAATGATTTACGCCACGTTATATTTCAGGCTTCTCCGTGCTTTTTTTTTACAATAATGTTTATTGTCGCGAATAATCTCTCGCGACTCAATTATCTCCTTCGTGAAAGTTGAAGGAACGTCTCGACAAGAAATGGCGTGCAGTCGATCATGTACTCTGAAGTAGATTATGGCGAAGAAAAATATGTTTTTGTACGCGCCATTCTCGTTTGCGAGAAGTTTCGCTCAAGATTCTACTCAGATTATCGATTTGTTATATTACGTAAAGAAATACGAGATAACCAGCAATGCACATTTCGGCATAATACTCCGGTCGGAAAATGAGGGGAAAAATGTGCTATTATGTTTAAATATAATTGCTGAATTTTTACACTCACGAGAAACAGAAATAAAACGTCCATTGTAAAGTTGAACGTATAAATTAGTATCTACATAATCGTGCGCATTTACGTACTACGCGTCCCGCGGTAAAAAAAAGGATTCACGCCGTCTAGATTCTCGGTATGAATGATGCAAGCGAACGGAATCAAATCGCAATGGGACTTTCAGCTCTGTGATCAAAGAGCATATTGAGTAATTTTTTCTAATCTTTTTAACGCGACATAAAAACGCATAACGCGTGCAGAAAGATGAAATAAAAATTGATACATGTGTGAGAAATAATTATTGCTACCAGGGGTTATCGTAAATCGTGACTTCCAGATTTGATAAGAAATTCCACAGTTTTTTAACCCGTATACATGTTATATGCATCTACAGCATGCTTTGCAAGTGAAGCATCAGCGTAAGGAGCCGCGATAAGCAACGTAATATGCTTATATACATCCGGTACACTTTTCTTCCTTCTTCGCGATTATCTGCCGACTATATTCATTTGACTTTCGAATATGATGGTATTGCGGCATCTTGCGTCGCCGATTGTTCGATCGTGCATAATGACGATACTTTTTGCACTTGCAAATCAGTAAGGTCACTCGGACAGCGGTTTATAGAGATTGAGACCGGTCACATATGCATTATCATCGTTAAGCGAGCATGATAGAATACATAAAATATCAATCTATAAAATGCGCCGATGTATGTACGTGCCGCGTCATATTTCTTTCCTCTGTCTCACGTCTTCCCACTCTTCCCTTTCCATTTTCCCTCGATTCCCGCACGCACGCATGCATTAATTAATTAAGGACGTGGCTGAAACGCAATTCGTCTCTTGGATTTAGAGTGACGTAAGGTTGTGCCGAAGCGATGTGTGTCGCGGCGACCTTGAATTTTCATCGCGTGCCAAGATTATGCTTTCTGGCGAGCCTCGCAGGTCAATTATACACCTGCCACTTGGTTCAATCTTCGATCCGATAGTTTTTGTCTCATTTCGACAAGCTCGTTATTAACATTCGCGCTAGCGTTATTCTTGCGTGGAAGGAGAATATTTTCTACATATGTAGTTGCCTTTGTGACACTCGTAACACGATCTACAACGGATTCAAATTTCAAGTTCGTTGTGTAGACTGTTCGTGTAGAGCATTCGTGTCTCATTCGCATCTCCATTTCACTAACTAGATAGGGTCTCATTAAATTCTCGGGTTTAGTCGCGAGTTGCCAAGTTGTTTGCGCTTTCGGGCGCCTGACAGGCACAAAACGATTATGCATCGATTCCCATCCAAGCGTAGCGCGCGATGATCTAAAGGTAATGCAAGAACCATTTTACTAAAGTTAGAATTGAGGTTGCACACGGGATAAATGTATAACTTTCTCTAAACCACATTCCTACAGAGAGATATATTGTTGTTCTGTGGTCTTTTCTCACTCAGTATTACACTGTAATTTGCGTGGCACACAATTTTCAAAAGAAATACTACAATGTCGATGTAATGTACGTTTTTTTTTTACTATTATTACTATAGGTTTACCATTATTAGAGAAATATTCCAGGGCCGTTTATCATGTAACTATTGTATTACTCGTATAATTTGTCAAAATATGCTATCAATAAACGTGGTACCGAGCATTTATCTTGATTTTTATTTTTCTTTATTAGATGTCGACCTGCAGACTCAAATCGACGCCTCGCTGGCGATGCCAGCCACCTATCAGACCCTTTGCGCACGTGCCCATTTGGCTCAGCAGTGTTGCGGCCTGGCGCGAGAGCAGACGAGGATCTGCGAGAGGCTGGTTCACGATCAGCATCTCCAGCAGCAGGGTTGGGCAGCGGTAGTAGCCAATCTCGAGGACATCACGCATATGTTTCAATCACGAGCCGACCAGTTCCAGCAGGCCTTTGTCCTGTACCTGGCCGAGAGGCAGCAGCATATGAAGCTTCTTGATAAGTACGACCTTTTTTTAGTTTTATTTCATTGATGCGTAAAAATCGCAGAATTCTATTTTTATTTTCACATTCTTTTAATATCGGCAAATTTATCGGAATTAGCTTTTGTAAGAAATTTATAGTCCATGACGTAATTTAATGAAAATAAAGATAGGGATAATTTCAGAGAATTATAGAATGGTGTTTTTACTTGCATGTTAGTTGCGTAAGTTAGTTAATAAATATGAGTTTGACAATTTAATTGGTAGGACTGCATTGAACGATACAGCGACGCGAATAATGCGGTAAAAACCGGTTCTTTTTTGTAAATTTTACCATGCTGATCGAAGCGCGGTACGATTGAATAATAGAATAGTGAGAGTACGGGTTAATAGGCTTAAGATGCGTTGCGAAATATTAAACAAATTTTTTGCATTAAATTATGAACCAGTATAGCAGTTTATCATAAACGTATACCGTAATACTACTCTCAATAATTACTTTAATTACAATAGGATATAATTACCATTGAATCCACGTTTTAATTATCATAGCTTTGGTTATCATGTTTAAATGTGGCCGCTTGAAATTATTATTGGCTATACCGCTAATGAGTAATTAAATGACGGTAGTACTAATTTCATCCAAAGATATGCGCATCAAAATTCATCGTAACGGTTGCCAAATATAAGCAAAAATACTGATTAATGTCTGATAAAATATCCTGATTAATAATAAATACTGAATTCTTAAATTGATAATCGAAAGTAGGATAACATTAAAATTTGTGTTTTCTATCCTATCTAAAAAAAGGCATGTTACACGTGAAGAAACGAATGCAAATTTTATTACAGTTTTAGCAGCGATCTCGGTACTCTTGCGAAAATTCCAATTTTGCCGGCCTTGAGAGCTCAAGCCGAAGGCTTGTTGAGTCCGGATGATCAACCGAGTCAAACCTCCGAAACGTCGGAGGATAGTGGAGAAGTGCTGAGTCTGCTACGATGGATCTCGGCGAAAGACAATCAGAGCAGCCTGGAGCAAGTGGCAGAGCAATGCTCGCGTGGCCTGGAGCAGTTCGATGAACGATTGATGCAGGCCTTGAAAGCGGAAGTGAACGCGGCCATCGATAATGCTAACAAGCAAGATATGAAGGAGATCAAGGGCCTAGGTGAGAGGCTGTTTGCTCTTGAACAGCTGATGGTGCAGACCAAGAGGCTCGTTCACGAACAGGGTGAGCTTGCTCAGGGTTTTCTGCAGAATCAGAATCGCGCGAGCAATTTGGGCGACGCGAGCGTCCTGCCAGATCTTTGCAATTCTCACCGCCGGCAGTTGCTCGTCATGTTGCAAAATCACAACCAGTTGCGGGACATCCGCCGCAGATGCACCAAGGCTAAGGAGGAGCTGTCGGTGAATATCTATCATCGCCTGAAGTGGATCATGTACGTGGAAAACAAAATGGTGGAAGTAGGCAACAAGCTAATCATATATCACGAGAGCTTGAAGCGGTTGCGACGACATCTGGAGGTGCTCCAACAGATCCACTTGGCTCCGCAAATGTACATGAGCGCGGTGGTTGAAGTTGTTAGGAGGCGCACCTTCTCGCAGGCTTTCCTCGTATGGGCAGGCAATCTGGCATGTCAGCTGTTGACCGTTCACAACGAAGAGTTGGCGCGTAGGCGAGAGTTTCAGAGCAAATTTGATGGCCACTTCTTGAACACTCTCTTCCCAGGTTTGGAGGACACGCCACCGCCCTTCGCAACGCAAGCACCTTCCGTCTTTGACAACGGGCTACCTAAGGTAAGATCCGCTGACTTACTAGATTACTACTATTCGCAAATAATTGTTCTTAATATTTTATTATAGTTAACCGCGGACGACATGGAATCATTGAGGTCGCAGCTTCCGGACTTGGCGCTTACGATTTCTACGCCGGATTTACGCAGTATCACGCAATTCTTCTTATCCAAGAGCTTTACCGAAGGCAGCACCGATGGCAACAAGGAGAAGGACATCACATCGGTGAGCACAGATATGCCCACAAAGGAACAAGAGCGTACTAGAGCGCCGTTGTTGTCGGACAGGTGAGTTCTTGATAATGTATTTTGTCGCTTATGCAAGTAAAAATGTATATCATATAAACTGCGAATGTTACATGTGTTGTATCGATTTCCAGGGGCGATTTTGAATCCGAAACCGACACGGAGGAATTCGAGAAGATTGGTCAAGCCGGCGTGGACGTGACCAAACCCGGCGTATTCGACGGGGCGAAACAGAAACGGCAGAAGCAATTGGAGGTTGGTGCCTCTCGAAGCGTGTCCCCCGCTTCCTCGACCTCGACTAACGTCTCCCCGCTAAACTCGAAAGTCGCGGACTTAACAACGCGTTCGTCTACGTCAAGCGAACCCGGCTCTTTCCAATTTCCCAGCCTGTCCGCCACGAGCGAGCGCCCGGTGCAGCTAAGTCCGCTGACCGAGTGTGTGGAGAACGGTGTCGCCGATTCTTCCAGTTGCTTGCTTCGCAGTGGTGTAAGCGGCCTCTCGAACTATCGCGACGCCCTGCCGCTCGAGGAGCAACATTCCCTGAGTCCGAATCCCCCCTCCTTGCCACGATCCTCCGTCATGTGCGACGGCCAGCATCAGCAACATCAACATCCGCTATCCGGTAGCGGTGGTAGCAGTCCCTCCGTAGGCGTGGGTGCTACCGACTTCATGGGTACCGAGTTTTACATGGACGAATCTCTGCCGAGCAGCCTCAGCGAGCATCCCGCCGACGGTCAGCATCAGGCTATCGTGTCCCTTCTTCAGGTACTGGACGACTTACAGCTCGCTAACAGACAACTATCGTAGTCGTAGCCGTAAACGTTCTGTAAAGTACCGCTTTTGGCCCCACTACCCATCTCTAAAACTATTAATATGTTATAAAATATACAACTGTCTTTTTCTTTTTCTTCTTCTCGCCTTTTTTTATTCTTTTCTGTTTACCCCTCCGCATCAAGATGTCAAATGTATTGCTCGGTACTTCTGACTTCATCAAACGTACTAGTTGATTCGTTTTTCTTCTTTATGATTTTTAGGTACTTTCGTTATTATTATCTTTATATTTGTTAGGGAGCTATTAGAATTGACTATATGCAAATTATATCTCGTGAGACGTGGGTATGTATTACTGCTTGATTTATGTTCCGCAACCGCTCGAACTAATCGAATCGAATCTGTTGTGCTCCCTGATTTCTGTACTGCTTGCACAAATACAGTGGCACCCGATAATAGACGCGCGTGCATTGAGCACGTGCGTATACGTGCGCGCGCGTGTATATATATGCGTGCATCTTGATTTTTTACAGGATAGCTGGAGTCGCACTTGTTTCCCAATCCCTCTCGAGCCACATCCCTTCAGAGCCCATTGAACTCGTCCACACGATTGCTTTCATAAAGACATTTGTTCTAAATTGAAATTGTTGCAATTTTGCGTACCGCGCAATTCGTGATTCAAAATTAATCAAGAGAGTGGAGTTTTCTTTGAAAGACTAATCTCCTTGACGAATTCTCCTTGACTACAAAGTCGAGGACAATCCGTTGCACAAATTATGATTTTGGGATACTCATCGGAATATCTTTGGTGCTCGTCATTTCAGGAGAATCTCGGTAACACGCGTGAAGAAGTGGAAAGGTTGCGGTCCATCCTGAAGACTATGAAAACGGTCGTATGCGAGGAGCTTAGTTCTGTTCGGAATGAATTGGCGATTCTGCGAGATCGGTCTAGCGAGGACAAGAGCGGCATCATCGAGATGACAGAACGCGTTCGAGTGGCATTGTCTTTGCATTCGCGAGAGTATGACCGACGTCTTCAAGAACGTGAGCAGGAGCTGACGATCGAGCATGAGTACGAGGTAGCTGATGTCAAAAAACTGATGCAGAGTCGCGAAGAAGAAATCTGCACGCTTAAGCGTAATCTCCTGGAAAAGGAAACCGAACTGGCGGAACACGAACGACTGGTAGCTACGATGCGTCAAAAGTTGGAAGACGAGCAGATCGAGAGGAGGAACCTGCAGACTCGTCTACATCAACAACTCGAGGACTATTCGAGGATACTGGAGCAAGCGCGCATAGACAAGGAAGAGGCTGTGAAGAAGACGAATGACGAGAGATTCCTCGAGATCACTTCTTTAACGAATTCATTGACCCAATGCCAGACACGAATTCAAGAACTGGAGGAGAATCTGGCTACCGCGCGTACTGATCAGGAAAGAATGGTAAAAGAGGCGACCGACAAGTTGCAGATAGAATATAAGACGGAATTAGAAACAATTCGAAGCCGCTTTAAACTTATGACCGCTTCTACCATGGAAAGGAGTCCCAGCGATTCTAGTTTGGAGAAGATTGAAGTAAGTAACTTACCAATTTATTCCATTGTTATTGAAAATAAAATGAGGAAAAATGGAAAAATATAAACTTCATTTCTTTCAGCGGACAGACGTTATCGAGCTCGTGAATCACGAGGCGATCCTGGCGCAAGCGAGAGAAGATATGAAAGTTGAGAATGCCATGGCAGTTCGTACTGCTATTGAAAAGGAAAGGGCTGATTGTATGGCGAAATTGGATAACGAATTAAGATTGGCAAAGGCAGTAGTCGAAGAGAAAAATAGGGAAATAGAGATGTATAGAATGAGAACAGCTGCGTTGTTTGAACAGGGCAAACATTATAAGAACATGATAGATCGATTAATTGGAGAATTCGAACTGAAATCAGAGATACAGCAAAACTTGATGGAGAAGGTATTGTCATATATCACATATCACATATCATATGCATGCATATTTATATTCTATGCTATAGTGATGAGTTAAAGAAATATTTTTTTAGATTATTTTATATATTTTCAGATTGATTATTATTTATTATATATATATTATCTTTCTTATTTCATCGTTTTCTTTCTTGTATGTAGATGAAAAACCTTGAAGCGGACAAGGCGTGGTTGGAGAACAAAGAATCCGCAGAGAAGGCAATGCGAACGGTCTTGGAACAAAACGAAGATAACATGTATCCTCTAGAATCTGGAGTATGCAAGGACTTGAGCTACGATCGGTTGGATGCCGGTCAAATTGGTCTGGAAGATGTCTTCAAGGAATCCGAAAAATATGAGGTTGAAGTTTCAGAATCAAAGAAAGTACGATTGGAGGCTGATGATGATGATCTGGCTCGGCTATCGAGGCGACTTGAATCTCTCGAGAATGATAACAAGAGGCTGTCCTGCGAGCTAAATTCGATACGCGCGAGTAAAGTGGCGGCCGAAGCAAAAATGGAGGCGTTAATGACAGATAAAATCCGTTTGGAGCTCGAATTACTGAAAGAGCGAACCAAGAGGACATTTGGTATTGACCCGATGCCGTCAGAGTCCCGCGATAAGGAAATGAATGCGTCGGTTGCTGTGGTTTCGGACGCCAATTCAAGGGACGCGGCCACGAGTCCAGAGCTAAGTCGACGATCATCTTCCAAATCGATATGCTTCCATCCCTCCCTTCCCTCGTACATACATAAGAAGGTCGCAGAAAAAGTCGGAAAGATGGTGCAACAGGGAATTGTGACCGTCACTAGCTGCAATCCGGGTGACGTGGTACTCGTAGTCTGGGATGCTGTACATGGCAACTACGCGGTATATCAGGAATCTTCGACTTTTTATTTCCTTCATTCGGACTATGTTGACGCACTGGACGTAGGAATGAATCCGAGCGGTTCTCGGAAATGCGTCCTCGCTGAAGTGATCGATAAGGAGTACTGTCATGCGAGGAAGGTAAGATTGTTAGTGATTAATTATTGCAGAATGTAGAGTTGCATTATAATATTAAATAGCATACGACACTCGTTACGGCAAAAAGTGAAATATAATCTCATTGTTCTCTTTCTAGCATGAAAATCGGTATCACGTCCCACGTGGCACAAAATTCTACAGAGTGCGCGCTAAGCCACGAGATGCACGCGCGCTGACAGACGAGACAGGTTCGATGTCGAAGAGTCAACTACCGTAATTTTACGTTCAGACTGTGTCGAGAATCCCTTGATTCTTGCCTAGTACAAGCGCTGTGATCGAGGGTTTGCGTCGGCAGGCCGCGTTCGTTAGGGGACCAGCGACCCGGAACGCAAATCCCGAACTTACGTCTCCGCAACCATCCGGAAACCTCGGATCTAGGCCAAAACCTGCCAGAGCCTCTAGACGCATCCTTGATATCGATGAACGCTGGGGGAGGGGGTGACCCATGGAAAGAGGTATGCGCAAGTTGGGTAACATGAAATGAGACGGAAGGATGCGCCGGCGTTTTATTGTGATATAAGTAATTTTTAAACGAGTGAAACATATTTGCCGAATGCTGTGGTTAGCTGTGAAGCGTAACGATATTTGTATTCTTCGACTTTCCTTTTTTCATAAACGAAAAAAAAAAACAAAGGCATGTGAGTGTCGTCGACGATTTTCTCTTTCAATAATTCGAATAGGCTGACCAGTGTATGAGAGAGGGATTGTTAAACTTCAATATTAGATGTACAATGCGGGAAGACGAAAGCGTGTCCCACTAGACGACGTTCAGCTTCCTCTCTCCGCATTCCGATAATTATGTTTGCATTGTGTGAGACAAGAAAATGTAGCTATAAGTTTTACAAAACCGACATATTATGGGAACGTGCGATTTATATATCGTGAATGTATTATAAATATAATATTATAAATATATACATATATAATCGCATTCGGTTACATATATAATTATATATTATATACATATAAATAATGATATATATGTATATAATTATATTATGCTATATATATACACACACACACACACACACACACACACACACACTATTGTACGAGGCGTGCAATATCTGCGTACAAAAATCTCGTAGGTCCTAAAGATTTTGGGGCTAAGATTTTCTAAAGTGAAAATTGTCTCGTGAATGTGTTGTGCAATTTCGTAAATATACCTAATACGTCGGGTTATTTATACGAAGAGATCGTGCTACGTGACATCGATATATTTTCGCTGATTCTCTTTTGACGTCTTGCGTATTTTTTGTCGCAAATTGTCTTTTCACTTTTCGAATACTTTCAGACATCTACTTTCATTTTCGTCTTCTCTTGATACTCTTCACAACGTTTTGTAATAACAGCGAGTTCGAGAGATAGGTAAACGTAAAAGTCAATGTTTCATTCGAAGGAATAATGAATGGGACAAAGGCTATAGTACAGTCTACTTACTTCGTCTACATACAATTTTCAAGCGTTAGTTTAAGCAATGCCCCACCGGAGAATTGACTCCGAGAGAGAGAGGGGCGTATACTCCGCGTAGAGAAAATTTTATAAATGTACACATATGTATATGTATATATATATCCTTTTCTATTATTTGACTGGTATCCACGCGAGTGTTCTCATCGCCACACAAAAGAGTCGCTTGCGGAGGATTACTCGTAAACTCCTTTAGTTGCATTATCGTGTATCTTTATACAATGCTACTATCGTTTCTCGTGACGCGTAAACGCTCGTAGTACAGTACAATAGCTGTGATTGTTAGCTTCACGTTTTCACTTCTACTTAGTCACTTCTACTTAATTAAACTTAATTCCTCGCGGTGCGAGCGACGATCCGTTCCTTGCTTGATCGAGGATACAGACACATGTGTGACATGAATCTTTACTCCTTTTATATGAAAATAAAAAAATAATCCAAAACAAATCCTCGATCTTTGATGGGCGACGATCATCGTTCGTACGCGAACTGTTTCGCGAATTGGTGCAAACACGGAGCGCCAATAAAAAAGGCGGTTTGCAAAATATGCTGATACGTAAGATAAACCGTTCGGTAGGATATTAAGCTACCTCGAGCTCCTCTCGAGGAAACGAAACGTTCGTCTTTGGCATACTGCGAAGAAGTAGTAGTTTGTAATTACTCTTTTGTCTTCTCGATTCGAAACGCACGTGTACACCGCACACACACACACACACGCGTGCGTAAGACGATGAAGACCCTTAACACGATTTCTCGAGGACGGACAGAGACATTAAGCTTTCCTTCTCTCTCACAAACGCCGTTCCTCGTCTTTCGTCATCGTCGTCATTGTTCGTCGCACGAAGTCGTATACGGAGAAAAAAAGACTCGCATACATCGAACTAACGCAACCGCTGTGTAAAAAAAATGATCGCAAAGCGTTTTATTATCGTTGTCAGGATGATGAAAAGTTATTCAATTCGAATCGCAGATTCGATCTCCGCATGCGATTTCTGTATTCATTTGCATCTACGGTTCCTACTAGACCAAACTTTTTCGTAGGTTCGATAGCGCCAGGGAAGCTCGATGCACCGAAACCCTCCAGGCATGCGAGACTAAATTTCACATTGCTTCGAACTGACTATTTTTCGATAAGCTCACTTACTCTCACACTTGAATGATCGCTCTCTTTTTTAGATATATTTATAAATTTGCAACACCAATGACGTGGCTATTGAAAATACGCGAGTGATTCTGATTTTATTGTATACATTTAGAAGTAGATAGCGTTTATTCGATCCTTGCAAAAAGAGAACAAAATGCGTTTGCACAAGTGCAATCTGCAACTTCCAAAAAATTCTAAGTCATTGTCATCTAAGATTGTATGACCCTCGGACTAATTCAAGTAATTTGAATGATCGGAAAATGGAATTCTTTAAAAGGATACTCACCATTTCTGAAGGAAGAGCAATCTGCTGTTGTAAATATGTGTAGATAGATGTGTCTGTATGCGATATTAATTTACACCTAATATACGGGTCGAGGATTGGCGAGGAAATATTAAACTGCGAAGTCGAAGAGCGGTCTTTCGACATTGTTGCTTATATTTCCGCTGAAAATCTCCAAGTCCTATCTACGTGCATCTTTGAAATAATTTTTTGCACCATGTGACACAAGATAAAACGTGGCAGTGGCTTTAAAGCGCAATCTCCTAATTTAACTCCAATTTTTCGTCCTTAGAAGATACTCTAACGAACCACGTTGTTGCTCGAAATATTTTTCTCGAAGAAAGTGAGGAAGATCTGTGCGCAACTGCGTCTTTGCTTCGCTCAATTATCAATTAATTTTGATAATTATTTTGATTTCATTAAATTGAGAACTAAATGTTAAAGCAACGCGTTCGTATAAGTTGATTCTGTTTGATTTTGTAATTTATTTGTTTGAATTTATTTAGAATTGATCGGCACCTATTGAAAAAGAAGTACAAAAAGAAAGATAATCGAGTAAGAAAATTTTCCGATGAGGAGAAGCAACATTATCGAGGTCGAATTTTTGGAAGAAATAAGTATAAGATAAAAAAAAGGCGTTTAACGTTGTAATAATTCTAACTTAATGAGATTTTGCTTTTTTTATATGCCAAAAGATGTAGCTGTAGAAAAAGTTCCGATTTGTATTTGGCTAAGATTTTTTAATAACTAATTTGTAAATTATATAAGGTGTTTCGTAAATTAAATTAGATCATAATATACAATTAGGCGATTTGGCAGTAAATTATATGGACGAATAGATCAAGATTGGTTCGCAGGATTTTCGATTTCGTCTTTGATTTTCCGTTAATCAATTGGCGTTGATTTCTCTTATTGAATCAGATTAAACTGGCGAAGTCCTACGAATGATGTGTATGTTGTGTTAAGTCAGAGTACTTGTTTTTTATAAAAGAAAAAAAATGTGGGAGGAATCAAACAGCAGCGGAAGATCGACCGCCGATCGAGGCAATGATATACGATCGTTTTGATCGAGTTTAAGGATCATATAACAATAGCGATCGTGCGCATGGTGCAATTTATAAGATCGGTTTGTCACGGCTTCAGACGCGAGAGCAAAGCCTCCTATCTCCGTATTCTCCGTCGCATACATCCGATCTCAACGCCGAAGGGAATCGTTGAAATCCCATCGGGGCGCTCTCCTCTCCGTCTTCTCCTCGGTAGCATCTTTCCCTCCTGACGCTGCATCATTTTAAGCTCTCGTCCTGGCCAGCCTGCGATCGCGCGGACGTGTCTCGCATCCGTTCCGTTCGTGTGTCCTGTTACGTTCACCGCACGCCAACTCTCACGTGAGAACTCTCTCATAATGGAGATAAGTAAGGAAGATATCGCGCATGTGTAATCGAGAAAGTGTAATGCATAGGCATAATATTATAATAATAATAGTAATATTGCATAACATACATAACAATTGTGATCGTGAGAGTATCTGTTACGAATAAATCAGTTGCAAATAAATCTTGTGACCTTTTTCCAAGCTACACCGGCTCTGCTTCTTGACTTCTCTTCCACCCCGATTCTTGAGACCTACGTTAAGCCTGGCCGAAGAAAATTCGCAAAATACTTTTGGATGTATTAACCTGACGTAAAATGTGATTTTGGCATGACGTTTTTTTTTTCCAGAAAGCTTCGATTTTCTAATTAAATACGAAGGTTGATGGGAAAACGACCAATCTTCTGGATCAACTTGATAAATTAATTGCGAGCAAATAAACGGGTCTGTCCGTTCGGAGAGAAGTGCAACACTATCTTATATTTATTTATATAATACAAATGAGTAGAGTGGCGCGATGAGAACGTTCTCTAATGATGAGGAATGTAGTTGTGCGAGTCCTGAGGACATCCCGGCAGCAGACTCGACGTCTCCTCGTTCGCGGAGCTGCACAGCATCCCGACTAGCGTGTAATCTACAAAGGGCGGCAGATCCAGGTCGGCGGTAGCCGGATCGCCGTAGTTGTTGACGTTGGTTTCGTGAGCCGCCGGCCCGACGCTCATCATCTGCGGCACCCGCTCGAGGATCTCACAGGTGTAATGGCAACGTTCGTTGTTGGGATAGAAGAAGGACTCGGGGCTGTTTCGGGACTGGACCGACGTTTCCGCCACGCCGGAGTTGTGGAACAGCCTCTCCGCAGTTTCCGGCGTCTCTTGACCGCCGTAACAACCCTGAAGTCTCTCGTCCAGGTTCGTCTGGGTTGAATTTTGATGAACGACACGGTTGTGTGGGTGATTCTTAACGTCACCGTGCTCGAACATTTGGTGATAGCCATCGAAAGGATACGGCTTGCCCTCGGGACTGCAGTTGCGTCGCGCCGTCTCCTGCAAATCCTCGCTCTTCGGCCTCTGGTAGAGACCGTACTCCGCTCTGCTCATCATCGGGGGTTGACAACTGTTCTTGTAACACTCGACCTCTCTGCGCGAAGACAAGAGATCCTCCTCCTTGACTTCGAAACTTTCCAAGTGTAACCTGTTGTCCTGTTGATCCTGAGGCCAATAGGACTGCTCATGTTCGTCCTTCGCGTTCCCCTCGACAAAACCCTTTTGACTCTGCGATCGGGGGTAATTCTGATAGCTCAGAACGTCATTTGCGGGCTGATTCTGATTCTTTTCTTGAATGTAATGGTGCATCGTTCTCCTGGAAGGAAAGCCATTGGAGACCTTCTCGGGCTCGAAGTTGGCGAAATGGAGTCTCTCATCCTGAGGCAGGCTCAGATGACTGCTGCTGGAGTCTTCGCTGAGAAACTGGTTCCAGTAACCCTGATCTTGATTTTGCTGTTTCATCTCGTACTTAATGGTGCCGCTGCCGAGATCGAGCAACGTTGGTGGCGAGCGAGCCACGTCCTGGGGATTTGCAGAGAAATCCGGCCTCAAGGGTTGGTCAAGTTGAAAGATCTCTTCTGGTTGGAAGAGATCGCCCGTGAAGGGTGGAAAGTCGCCATAGGACGCCTCCTGGGGAACC